AAAAAAAAAAAAAAAAAAAAAAAAAAAAAAGAAATGAATATGATTGAACATATCATGTTTAGAGAGGGTGTCAAATTGAGAACCAGGCAGATCCACCTACTCTAAAAATTACCCTAAAGTAAATTGGTCATAGAAATTAGATTCCAGGCCGAGTACAGCAGCTCACACCTATATCCCAGCACTTTGGGAGGCTGAAGTGGGTGGATTACGAGATCAAGAGATCGAGACTATCCTGGCTAACATGGTGAAACCCCATCTCCACTAAAAATAAAAATAAATAAAAAAAAATTAGCTGGATGTGGTGGCACATGCCTGTAGTCCCAGCTACTCGGGAGGCCAAGGGAGGAGAATCACTTTCCAGAAGGCAGTGGGTTGCAGTGAGCAGAGATCACGCTACTGTACTCCAGCCTGGAGGACAGAGCAAGACTCCATCTCAAAAAAGAAAGAAAGAAAGAAAGAAAGAAAAATAAATAAATAAATAAATAAATTAGATCCCAAAGATTCTTGATTTTTCCACAGGTAAATTTTGAAGCCTTCATGAATATATCCATATAAAAAGGAGATGAAAGAAGTCAAAATAAAAGAATTATGGGCTCACAGGATGACTGGATTAAGCATTAGTTCTATTAAAAAGGGCTAATTTGAAGATAAATCTATTGAAAATAACTTTTGACTCTAGCTCTTTAGAGGAAGTAAAGGGACCTTGATGAACAGTGGAAGGAATCACAACATCAAATTTTTTTTTTTTTTGTAAAATATAAATAAAAAATAAAAAATTTTTTACGGAACGCTTCACGAATTTGCAGGTCATCCTTGCGCAGGGGCCATGCTAATCTTCTCTGTATCGTTCCAATTTTAGTATATGTGCTGCTGAGGCGAGCATAACATCAAATTTCTTGAATAAAAATTTATTGACTTAATATTACTATGAACCTTACGGCAGACATGGAGAGGCACAGCCAAGATCCTCTTTCAAGGAAAGTGTTATTGCCTCAACGCCACAACTGCTGACAGTGCTGTCAGTGCACAACATTGATTCAGCTTTCAGTCCCTTTAGAGGATCACTTCAGTTTCACCTAAGGCTTACCCTTCCAAGGACAACCCATATCCCATGACTGGGCAAATGCATAAACACCTGGCCCATTGTAGGAGCAGCTTAACTCCACAGCTGCTTACAGAGTCAGGGCTTTTGGGCTCCCATCACAGCATGGTGTCTTCATCTTCCCTCTTCGCTCTCTCCCATTCTTTTCCACAAAAGGCACACTCTAGTAAACGACCTGTCCATTAAATTCTGTAAACATTAACAGATTAATAAAGAAAAATACGATTATCTCAATATATGCTACAAGCTACTCTGTGGGAGAGAGAGGCCATATGGAGGAGTACAGAAGCCCCAGACACGCGAGCGAAGAAGCCGTTTTGGATGTCCAGCCTGGTCAAGCCCCAAGTGAGAACCACCCAAGCAAGCTCAGTCCCACCCAAGCAAGCCCAGAACCACCAAGCAAGCCCTACAGAGACAAGAGAGATGATAATAAATCATTGTTTTTGCATCACTTTAAATCTTAGGATGGCTTGTTACAATGTAGTATATGAGGTGGATCCAAGATGACCATTTAGAAACAGCTCAGGATTGCAGCTCCCAGTGAAAGCACAGAGGGTGAGTGGACACCGCATTTTTATTGCCCACAGACTAGGAAATTCCCAGGCGGAGGAGCTCCACGGGTCGCCAGCGTGGCTGTTTCAGCCAGCACGGCTATGTCGGCCAGCGCCGCTGCTTTGCCCCACGCGGCTGCTTTGTCAGTGCCCTGGCGCAGCGGTTCTCCGTACAAAGTACACTGGTCTGGGTGCCCTTTTGGCAGGTGATTAGAGCCATGGGAAGTCGCCCATTCATCTGTTTAAAAAGGGGATGCAACAGGAAACCAGGACAGTAGATTCCAGGGCAAAAAAAGCTCCAGGAAACTCAGGGCTGCTGTTTAAGCCAGCGCAGTGAGTTGCCGCATGGGAAAACACACAGATCCCGGCGCCTCTTCAACAGGCGACTGGAACACCAACTTAAAAAAGGCTCTGAGGCAGGGAGCCAGGCGATCAGGCTTGGCTGGTCCCACCCCCACAAAAGACCAGCAATCAGAAACTCTCTGGATTGAGACTTTCACAGCAAGCGCAGCTGAACCCAGGACGGTCCAGCTCTGTGGGGGAGGGGCGTCTGCCATTACCGAGGCAGCTCACCACTATGGAGGTAGTCAGCCAATGCTGAGGCAGCCCGTCCTTGCCGAGGCAACCCGCCATTGCTGAGGCGGTCTGCCATTGCTGAGGCAGCCCGCCGTTGCCAAGGCAACCCGCCACTACAGGGAGACTCAGCCTTAATAGAGGCGGGCCACCATTGCCAAGGCAGTTCTAACTACACCCATATAAACAGGACTGCAGGGAAGTTCACTTGGCAGCTGGGTGGAGCCCACAGCAGTTCAGCAAAGCCTCTACGGGCAGACAGTGACTAGGCTGCCTCCTTGCTGGGCAGGGAAACTCTGAAGAAAAAAAAAAGAAGACAGCAACATAACGGAAACTCATAAATAAAGCCCTAAATCCCTGGGACAGAGCACCTGGGAACAAAAAGCGGTTTATGAGTTCAGCTGCAGCAGACCTAAACGTACCTGCCCAGCAGCTCTGAATGAACAACGGAGGTCACAGCTCAGCATTTGAGCTCCTGTAAAGAACAGACTGTCTCCTCAAGCAGCTCCCTGACCCCTGTATATCCAAAGAGCCACCTCATAAAGGAGAGATCAGACTGACACTTGGCAGGTATCCTTCTGGGACAAAGATAGCAGAAGAAGAAAACTGGTAGCAACCCTTACTGTTCTGCAGCTG